AATGCAGAAGCATTCAATATAATGTTGTAAATTTAACTCAATTAAGTGAAATTTATAGTCAGAAGTGGACAATGAATCTGCTTTCCAATCGTAATAGTCCTTGGATAATATTCCTGAAATTAAGCTTACGGTTTAATTATAAAACGCAAAGCTTTATTTTGAAAGGAGCTTTATTTTCAAATATCAACAGTTGATCCAGTCTTTAAAATGTTTTAGTAGATTTGATCATATGTAGGGATTTTCCATAAGGTTGCAGCAAGAGCCAGTTCTGAACTGGTTCTGTAAATGAACCAGTTTGCTTTGCCATCACTTCCATCATCTGCTTATTTATTTGTTTGAGCCTCCCACACTTTTATTAATTTTTTTTATAATTGTATATTTTTTAATTATTCGCCCAGGATTAAATCCAATTGAGATCTAAATCCTGCGTTTTAAGCGAGGCTTCGGCAATAGGCAGCAACAAAAATGTAACATGAAAAAGTTACACATTTAGAGGGAAACATCAAGCTATGTGCATTATTGAGTTAACCTCAAGAACTTTTACTTTGGCGGTAAAACCACTGTAGCTGTAGCTACTTAAAGGATAAGGGAGAAGGTCAAACAATTCCTTCTTCTCCAGTTCAGTTTGAGCAAAAGTAAAAGAAAGAAACATGCAAAAAATACAAGAGTCAACATTTCTCAGTGCAATTGCAGTACAGATAGAGGCTGGCAGAAGTCTAAGTAAATAAAAGTTAACCAATGAGCCAGAACAGGCTGCCTCATTGACTATATTCACATCCCATCTGCGAATATAAATCACAAAGTGTGCTGACATTTTGCAGCTTGTAATGAAGAGTCAAGCATCCTAAGACATCGCAAAGAAGCAATTGTAACACAATAACCCAACACAAGTTTTAGTAACAAGCCACTTTTTAGCAATGCGATAAACACAACTTATTTCTAAAATAAATAAAAACCTCAAAATAAGTTGTGTGAATAATCATAGTGCATGGAGGCAATTTGGCTGAACTAATATTATTTACCCTCATACTCCTGCAAACATGTGAGATAATATCAGCACCTTAACTGGTTCAAACAACTAGTGGTGCTTCAGTCCAAATCGGATGATCTCTATGAAGGCGTGTTAATGCCACTGTGGATAGAAAAAGGAGCTAATTTCTGCCAAAAAATCATCCCAAATTTTCTAGAAAAAAGGATATTTCTAGGTTTGAAAAGTCAAAAAATTTGCTATGAAAAATTTCCAAAAGTGGAATAAAATTCCTTGAATTTCTGATATTAATCTACAGGGTTTTTTTTTTTTTTTTTTTTTTTTTTTTTTTTTTTTTTAAAAAAATTTTAAAACTCAAATTTTTTAAATTTTTTTTCCTTAAAAATTTTTTTGTTTTTCAAAAT